AATCAATCATTTAGATACAAGTTAAATATTATGACTCGCAGATTCTAAATGCAATAAATGGAGAGAAACATACAATCGCATGCATGATTAGCGGCATTAGGAGCATTTTCAATAAGAGGAACTTCTTATACTTCATATGAGATATGTAGATATTCCTTTGTTTAGCATAAAAATAAGATGAAAATGCCCACAACTTAAGACTTCTAGAAATGATGAATATGATGATAAAATACAAATTATACAATGATTCACTAAAAAAACACAAAATGAACAAAAATTGATAAATATGAGTAAAAGGGGGCACTTGTGTGCTTGAAATGGCAAGACAATAGTCCAAAAGTCGACATTGAGATATGGGGTTAAATGAAAAAATTTTGACAAGATATGTGAAAAGAGACCTTATCCTCCAGGCAAAAATGTTCCTTCGCTTTTTTCAAAAGCACAAAAGAGCATAATTTGAAAATTTTGACGCAAATTGGTTCTAAAGCCTCAAAAGTTGAGAGAAATATGAGTCCTGAAGTTACACGACAAACATTCTTACATTATACGAAAATGTGGTTTAACTTATAGTAAAAAGCTAGAGAAAATGTATTCTTTGAAGATAAGGTCCCGCTTCACAGATCTGTTCAAGATTATTTCTTATGAAATCAATATTACATTTCCTTTACAAAGGGGCTTGGAAGGTTGCAACGCGCGTTGGTATACATTCTTTTTCCGTTGTTGCAGCAACATAGCTCAAAAATGCATTTTTATGAAAGTTAACGACACTACCTTTGAATGGCAAATTATATACAAGAAAGTTTCACCAGATTAGAATACCCTTCAAATTCTTTAGTTTAACAATTTGGGTTTTCTTTCAATACACGATCATTTGTTTTCCCAATGAAATAAACTAAATATTTGTGGGAATAATTGTTTCCCCACTGCCATAGAATTTGAATCTAATTCTGCACAACAGGACCGTACATGGATGATAAAAACAAACAAAATGTACACTATAATCAACTAACTTATGACAAAACACAATTCTGAGTACATAGCACCAAATAATAAATTAGTGTTGTCTCGAGGTACATGATTGATGAATGAGCAGCTCACAGCACTGAAGAAAAGATTCTTTGATGATGCTCACTTATCTTAATCTAGAAACATGTGAGTATTAAAATGACAATTTATCTTTAAAAAAGAAAAAAATACTGGAAAGGGACCATGTGCTAAAGACATGTCAACTAGATTCCATGTCTTGCATGGATCGGTTCAACCATACACATTAGACGCATTTCATTCACATCACAACATCTGGAGTACCTAAATTGTGCCAATCAGGATTATAGGACATTTCTGATACCTAAAGAAATTTACACTGATCACCTACAATACTTGATTCCACAAGATGGAAGAATATATTTTACAGCAAGCATGGTGATAAAATTATTCAAAACTGAAAATGTAATTATTATGAAGCCTTCAAGATGCTACATATAAGAAAGATTATAAACTCATTGTTAAAATTGGCTGGGAATTTTGATTTTCTGAGGATACAATACTTTAAATTGTTCTGGATTTAGATAAAAGACATTTTAAATAAATTCTCAATCAAAGCTTTGGCGCAAAGTTGCTTTTTTCCCCCTTTAGAAAAATGTCTTACTTGTTGCAAGCATTAATAACTTATCAAGATACCATCAGTACATCTTTTGATACTTCAAGTTATTACTATCAATTTTACCCTGAATTTTCAGCATTTTAAATTTCATGATTAATGAGTAGATATTTAATAAGTCGAATAAAAAAAGATTGTACAATTTAAGAATGATAAGTACAAAATACTTCACAACTGTGAAATTAATAATGCCCCAGATTGAAATTTTTAAAACTGAACTTAGACCAAAAATTTCCAAGTTTTACTCTCAGAAATCAAGGGGGAAAAGGTTACCTATTTTTTCAGCCCATATTTGGATGTTCTGGATTCTTATTATAAATAAATTATTTTTCTTCCCTAACTTTTTTGTGTGACAGAATGTGCATTACATGTCCCTTAATTTCTAAAATATGATACATGAGTGACGTATTTTCCTCTTCAAATGTTTGGGAAGAAAAATACCATAACACAGGAAGAGGGCATATTGAGATGACCTCTGCTCACCGGGCAAACTGAATGCACGGGGAAAAATAAAATTACCTAATATACGGAAAATGGCAAGTAAAATGATTGAGGAAAAACAATAACAAAACATGAGCTAAACAATGTAACACAGAAAGAAGAGAGAAGAAAGAAATAAGAACACAATTTTCAACTACTGAGGAAATTCAGAGTTAAGTCATGGATAGTAGCAAATTAATGATAAACAATCCGCAAGTAGGGGACTGATGTTAAAATCGGTAAAAAATCATAAAATTCTCTGGAAGATCTATCCAAAGCGCATAAATTCTTGTGGTTAGTATAATCTCAAAAAGAGGGTATGGGTCTCAATCAAATGATAAAATTGACTTCTTTGAACAGAGAGAAGATAAAATCATGTACGTATTTGGTAAAATAGTAGCTGGCGAGAAATTTGTTTTTCAATTCTCCTCCTGTTACCAACAAATGAGATCTAATGAGATTCGTATTAACTAAAGATTGTTCGATCTAGTACTAAATACTAAGAATCAGTTATTGAATCACACGACATTGAAACAGACACTGTTTCTTTGCCTTTTTCAGACTGAACTTTAAAATGATACTGATCTGAGAAATATCTCTTTGCTGGCAGTTCCATTGAGATCGAGTCATTGCAGTTCTGACTATCGCCTGACAGTAAGGGGCTATCCAATGATTCGCTATTACTGTTGAAACATGACCTACTCTGATAACCAGTATCTTCCGAAGAGCTGGTTTTGGATACTGCTGATATCTGCCACATGTAATTTCCATTTGTTTTCTGCGAAAGGATTTCTGTATTGTCAGCAGAATCAACAGGCATCAGCACAGACGTTGAATTCATATATTCCTTGTTTGTCACTTTGGCAAAAGGTTTCATGCTCAGTTTCGGTTCATCTCCTTCGTTGTTGATCAGCACAGACGTTGAATTCATGTATTCCATGTTGTTAACTTTAGCAAAAGGTTTCATGCTCGGTTTAGGTTCTTCTGCTTCGTTGTTGATTTTGATGAGGCTGAAGTTGGCATTACCACTATCCTCAATGTAACTCATTCTGTAGCTACTAGATTCTTGAATAACCGAGTGAGATGCTAAAGGGAAAAAAAGAGGAAAAAAAAAATTTCAGACTAGTATTCAAAATATATATATCTAAATTCTCTGATTATCTTTGCAACACAGTGGAGGGGCTCCACAAGAAATCACTATACTTTTTTTCTCGGATTGATCATTTGAACAATGAAAAAAAAAAGAGTAACTACGTTCATAAATTTACTAAAGAAAAAAAAAGATAGTTACTTAGCCAGTGACTAAATATTTTTAACTACCATTAGATTTCCCCCAACGGCAAAGAATGTATATTTTAGCCATTCCATATTATTATTTTGATTCAGTCTGCGTTAAATAAACTGCTGTTCACTGAAAGAAATTCAAAAGGACAAAGTAGAGTAGTGTTGGGAAATATATACTACAACATCCTCAAATTTTTTTATCATTAGGGTCAATCGAACTCAAAATGATCAGAAATTAATACAATTTGCTTACCTTTAATTTTAATTAGACTATCTTGGGCATTATCTGACGATACATCCATCGGCACATTTTCTTTATTTGCAATACTGAAGTCTAGTCGTACTGATGCTTTTGATCCGGCTGTGGTGTTCGGAGATGTCAATCCACTGCAATTGTATGAGATGGGTGAGCACCCAGGAGACGACAGGTGAGAGTTGGGTGTGCCAGCGGTTCTTGAAGTGATGATCGGTGTGGAGGGAAAATATTGCTGAGGGGAAAAAAACACAATGAGAATAAGTATCCACAACTGCCCTACTAAAGTTTTTGTATTTTTCTGCTAAAAATTTGTGCAGCAGCTTGAGATTACCTAAAAATGCTGTTACAGTTGATAAAACCTCCAGGAGCCTTCTTTGTATATTTATGGAGCATTTGCGTGATATGTGATTAATTCAATCCCACGGTTTTTACAATATCTTTATGTATCAATATCCTGACTTGTCATGCATTTTTCTGACTCCGAAATGTTCAAATTCCCTGACCTTTGAACAAAAGTTCCATTTAGACTTTTTCTTTTAAACTATGCTGACTTCTGCTAGATGCTGTTCACTCAAATTTCCTGTCTTTTCCAAATTGCCAAAAGTTTCCTGATTTTCGGGGTTTTCCAGACTCCTGAAAACCCTAAATCTGCATTAAACTGCGTTACAACAGGGTGAGGGGAACTAAAATTTGATAAATGATTGTCAATTTTAAACAAAATTATAATTATTGGAGGAAGGTACATACATTTGAAGCAAGGAAGCAGAGAGTTCTTCGCCTTCACAATTTTGGAGGCAGCCTTTGCATTTTTTGAGGTTGCCTGCCCATTATTGTCTACATGATACTTTCACATAAAAGAGCACACCTAAGTAACTTTTTTCTTTGCATGAGTTTCTTTGGCAAAACGTTATGGGCTTAACAGGTTTATGCCTCCTGCCTTCAAATTTTTCTCCCTTTCCAGATGCCCTCACATTTTTTTACTCCCTTTTTCAAAAGCCTTCACAATTGCTCCACAATCGGTCTACAATCGGCTGATCAAGCCATCCTGCAGTCGCGATTTGAAGGCACAATTCGCTAAAACTAGATCAAAATAGGCGTGAGTAGGAGTTTTCCTCAAAGCCACACAGTGCACAGGTGGAAAAAAAGGGGCAAAGAGAAAGGAAAAATGCATGAAGTAATACTTGAGTGTAACTCAATTCATATAAGTTGAGGCTGACCTGGAATGACGGACTGGACGCTAATCCACTTGTGACAGGACTGAGGTCTACTGTTGGAGCAGGTTTTACTGGTGACGGAGGCTCATCCTCACATTGAAAGAAGAGTTTTCGTCTCATGGATGACGTGCTAAGACTATCATCATTACTAGATTCTGGTTGGATGAAATAGCGAGATAGTACAGCTTCAACTTCCTCTGGAAGCTCAGGAGGTAAACTTAAACCTGTCTGCACGGAAGCTGAAAATGGTGAGAACAATGATTACTATATGATCGATTTTTTCTTCTTTTATTTTGGTAAGAAAAAAGGCCTTCAAATTTGAAACATGAAAAGATGTGGAACTCACATTCATTACAATGTTACAATTTTGTGCTTGCATTTTTCTTTATTTTAAAAATTATACCTATACTGACTATTACGCTATATTTTCAGAATTAATTTTTTCCTTCTCAAATTCCAGAATATTTTAAGCAATATTTGCATGCATTTTCTATATAAGTATTATGGATAACTGCAGGAGGCGTCCTATGTATCTCACAAAAGTTTAAAATGGATTCCTACTTGAAGCCTCATCAAAAAGTTCAAAAGAGCCTCTGAAAAGCTCAGCAAAATTTCTTAACAATGGAGCTTCTAGGTTTTGCCAAAATTTTTTGACAGAATTAAGGAATGATCACCCCTTTGTTCCCTGGGCCAGTCTCCCTTTGCATATCTCTTGGGATGCATTATAGCTCTCTCTATTAGTAAGGTCCAAGTTTTTCTAGGAAAAAAAAAAAATATAAAATTGAGCAGAACAATTCTTACTATGAATGAGTTTAAAACTAAAATTAAAATTGCAATACAATACCATCAACGGTTTTTTTCGTGCTCCTTGTAGAGTCTCGGCGAGGCGTTGAGGAGACAGCAGATGGTGCTGATGAGCATGGCGTTTTCAAAGATGTGGTTGAATTTTGCGTTAGAGGTAAATCATTAACAATTGGGCTTGGACTAGGAGCAAACTGGGTATCGGAAAAGAATCTAGAACAAACCAAAAAAAGTAAAGTTATTACTTCAATCTTTTCTCAAACAAACATCGATTAACTTATTAATTAGGTAAATATTAAGTTCAGTTTGGCAACTCTCTTATATTAGTGGATAATTAAGGCCTTTGAAAATTCATTGGAGGAAAAAAAACAATTCAAGTATTTTTCAGAAGCTATTAAAGCATTGCAAAACTCTAATGTAGGCTGAGACCTACATTTTGTAGTTTCTGGGTAATGGATCATCTACCTGTGTTTTCTTTTTACAATATTAGAACCGATTTCACAGTAGGTAGCTTAAATGCATCATCCATTATTGTCAGGATAGTAATGGTTGAATGCAAAAAATACATACCTCAATTCAAACGTTCAAAAATCTCTGATTATGTTTTATTTACTTCAAGGAAAATTAGGTAATAAAAATTACGCCTTGTGATTTTGTGTGATTTTTTTTAGAGTGAAGAAAATTAACCAAACATTTCAATAGACTGTTGGTTAAGTACTATTCCTTTATAAAGGGGAAAAAAAACTATGAGCAAAGACTGGCACTGCCATGAGTTGAGATATGCATTATTTTTGTTTCAGCCATTGATAGGTACCTTTCGATTGCTTCTTGGGCTTGAGACTCAGCTTCTGGATCCATTTGATCTTCATAATCAAAATTCTCTTCGATATTAGCAGGCTTTATCCGGGCAACATCCTCTATGCTCCATCGAAATTCAGTCTCCTTCTGAAATAAATCAAAAAAGATAATAAGAAACAAGGGTGATGGGAAGAAAAACAAAGCTGTTATTATAGGAAAAAAAAATTAGGTACACTAAAGTTCCGGAAAAAAAAATTGCAGAAAAAATGTGTTCAGAATTTTTTTCTGTTATACAAAGTTTTATCAGCAAGTCAGAAAGTTGTACTAAGTAGAAGCAATGATTGGACTGAGGCCTGATTTGTAATGCTTGGTAATACTACTCACAACAAATAGGTACTGAAGTCAGAAGAACTAGTTTTTGTCCAGAGTAAATAGGTGTGTAGTCTGACATTACGCCGTCCCTCTGACCTAAGGACGTATCTCAATTTCCGCATGAGCTCCAAAAAGCATGGAATTAAGTGCGGAACAGGGCTTATGTGGAAATTTCCGCATGAGCTCCAAAAAGCATGGAATTAAATGCGGAACAGGGCTTATGTGGAAATTGAGGTATGCCCTTACATAAGAAGGAAGACGATTAGACACAGAGTATAATTTATTTCTATCCGTAGTTTCAATAATGGTGGCAGATCTATTACAAAAGTCCTGCCCTGCCCAAATAAAAAAAATCTTCTTTCAGGGGCATGTTAAAATAGGTGGTAAGAATTTCTATTAGTACTTCCAGTACAACATAATATAAGAATTTATCTTAGACAGATATTCTTTTCTTCAAGAATTCAGACATTCATGGTTGTTCACAGTCATTTTTCTGAGATGCAGACAGAAATGCAACACTTGTTCAAAATAATATTTCATGTTTTCAAGTTACATTTCTCCAATTAAACCTACTTGTTTCAAATTCCTAGTTTCAAGTTCTTAGTCTCAAGTTCCTAGTTTTGAGCTCCTGGTTTCAAGTTTCAATGGTGCAAGTTTTGCAGTTTGCAAGATTTCTAGTTTCTGTAGCAACGCCTTCCAGACCTCTATCTTGGCCCAGAACTTTACTGCGTACCTGTAACTATGTATTTTGAATTTCATCTGTGATATGCGTGTTTCATCATTTGATTTTTATTTCTTTGAGAATATAAAAATTAATTTTCACTAAAACCTCATTCTTCTGTCTTTTCGTTGTTTCCTGTAATTATGAGGTCACATAATAATTCAAATTACTTAAACCACGCCCAAAATCACGCTTTGCTACCATCGAAGTTTCTCGAAGTTTCCAAGTTTAAACATGTATTTTTCTCCTTGCCAGTTCTCAAAGGTTTGAAAGGATCAAATTCCTGTCTATTCCTCACTCTGTCACCATAAATATATCACTGAATAATGTGCACAATGCGCTAAACGTAAAAACGTGAGAGAATGCAGGTATGTATAATTTTGTATACTTACAGTTTTCGGAGGATTCCGAATGGTTGAAAATACAGATGGACTTAAGATAGACCTTGTTAATCTCTCATGGAGGCCTTGGTTGAAAGGATTAAAGGGAATGAGTTCCTTTTCATCAGAAGAAGGCGTTTTGTAGAGAGGCAAGGGACTGAAGACATTATTTTGTTGCTGTGGTGAAAATGTGACGTCTACATTGAAATCACTCTGCTTCAGATTAGGGGACTGGATCTGAACATGGAAGTGGACTGTCTTGTTTGGTGTCCCCATATCATCGGGGGACGATTGATACTTGTCTTTCTCAGATTTCCGAAGGGACAGATACCTAGATTTGGATGCTGGGTTGCGGGCTCGAGGTGTGCTTTGCAAATCCATGTTGAATTTTTGTTGGTAGACTAGGCTAACTAAGAATGGTTGCTAGTTTCAGTAGGTATTACTTGTGCTTATGAGTGGATGGTCTGCTGCGACAATCAGGGTCAGCTTCCAATTTTGCAAGAAACTTTACCTGTAAAAAAAGAGAACACTAACACTAAGTATCATAAAATAGTAATATCGAGGTTGCCTAGTTATTATTGCTATGCTCCTGTACTCTCTGCAAAAGCCTGTATTGATTTATTTACATACTACCAAAAAGCTTTTTTTATCAAGGAGATATTCACCAGGTACAAACATGCACCAAGCATTCTCCTGGAAAGAGACATGCACGTAGAATTGTAATCGTAGCTCATCATGATGTTAGTGAAAGATAGATACCTAAGTGTAGCCTCTGGCTTCTTGCGACATAAGGAAAATCACACAGGGTATACATGTAGATATCGTAACTGAATGAGGATGAGTAGCTGAAATTAGGCTGAAGCAATCTATCGAAATTCCAGCATATTGTGATCATAGGCAAGGATAGGTTCATCACATATTATTTGCTATACCATCTCATGAACCTGAGAGAATTCTTGGTGATAAGTACCTACTTAGAAAGGGACATTATCAAGATGGTAGGTCATCAGTTACCTTCTAGACTTTCTCCTCATACATTGAGAGTTTAAAACAGATGCGATGTAGAAAGATACCAATGCAATTGGATAATTTCCTTATGCCATTATTAGCCAAAATATGCCTTGTTTAGCATGGCGCTGGGCCGCTGGCTGCTCTGAGAAAACTTAAGGAAGATTTTAGAAAAATGTTTTCAAGACTTTTGTGGAACAGTCAGGAGAGAGTATCAAATTACTGCCTTACCATCAATAGAAGAAATCCTGTCGCTCAGAAACATTTTTTTCTTTCTCCTGTCTAGTTGAGCTTGAAGTTACAGAGCCACCAGGAATCACTTGCAAAAGCACATATAACTTGAGCTAAAAAAACATGAATTGAGGGGAAAGAGAAAGACTGGACGGACTAGGATGGAAAAAAAAAACCGAAAAGACAAGGCCTGAACCGCCTGAACTCCTGAAGTGCCTGAACCGCATGACATTAGAAACCGAAATTGAAACTTCATATGTAAACAAAACGTAACTGACAATCAGTAATCGGTGACTTGGTGAGTAATCGATGCTGAAGCGGTGAGTGAAGATGCCAAATGAGCAGAATTAATAAATGAAGTGAACTTTGCGCAAAAAATATTTATCAATTAAATAGCACTGATCGCAACTGTCGCAATTTAAATGATGAAAAAAACCAGTGGCTAAATTGAATGCAATTGCATGTAATGTAATCACCTGCTTTCATGAGCTCGTGAGTTTCCGAAATCACGTTGTTGTCATACTTACTCATTAATCAAAATGCCATTTAATTTAATTCAAGGGGGAAAAAAAAACAGAATTAACTCCTCTTAAAAATGCAATTAAATATCAAGAAACGGGCTGTTGTGGGTCCATATGGAGGTTGAGAGTGGAAAATAATGCGGAAAATTTCACTCAAGTCAAACGATTTCATGACCATGAAAAAAAGAAATTAGCAGAGACTCGGCAACATTCCTTTTGCGTTATCACAAAACCCATCACGTAAACACAACGTAGGGTGGCAAAGTGCTGTTGAAATCTTTCCAGTGGCAGAATTAAGATTTCTCTAATTTTCCTTGCTTTTTCACCGCTGTAAGACAGTGCACGTTTATTGAAATAGACAATTGTAGTCTCATAAAATCGTCTAATTACATTTTTCTATCATATTTTGCAAAGACTTCCATGAATTGTGTAAGCTGAGAGTGACATCTGACCTCTGAACTCCACTTTGCTCTACTGAAGGTTGAAATTTTGAATCTCTTTCACTTCTCCAAATTTATCTCTTTCAAACTTATTAAATACCTACGATTTTGTTCCTCTTAAGCACTATCTTAAATTTTTACAAGGCTGCTGAAATTGTGTTTCTTCGCACATCTGTTTATCTTGCGCTCAAGAATCATGACGACTGTCCTGCAACATGTTGTCAGAAGGAGTATCCTCAGGCCTTTTGCCAAATCTTTCTCCAGTGGAAGTTCCCTTGTTGATGTCCAAGTCAATGACAAGACAGGTGTGTATTCTTAATCGTAATCTTAATCGTCCTCAATCCTCTCTCTTGAGAATCTCTGATTACTTAAATTACAAAAGTATCGCAGTTTTTCCGATTGCTTTACTTCGGAATGAAATTTCCACAGGTAGTCGAATGCTTGCTTCTCCATTGATCTTTAATTTGAGAGTAAAGTGTAAAGCTGGAGCTAGATGGTTGAAATTTGGCAAAACTTGTTCGACGAACTGTACTTAAATAATGGCTTACGAAAAGAAGTTCCATGAACTGCTGGTGCTGATAGCATTTGCATAAGTCAGGCGGAACTGTTTCCTGCATGAAAAGAGACCATAAGTCTCTTTAAATGACAGTCATTTGATCAGATGAAATTTGGCTATGATTTTATAGGAGTTTCAATGGGTGAATGCATGAAGCATGTTCTTTTCATGCTGATAATTTTTGGGAGTTCCTCTGATGTCTAAATTCATCAGAACCTTCTCGATAAAAGGTGAAATTTCACTCTGGGAAAACAACTGGTCTATAAATAACATGATTGTCAATCATCTGATAATTGAGGCGTTGGGTGCAGAAAGGGCATTTCTTGGTTGTTGTGTTTCAGAATCTCCACTTCCAATTTATAACTTGGTGAGGAAATCATTATGCGAATTTTCTGAAGTTGTTAGGTTTCAGTGTTTCAAAATCATGAAAAAAATTCAGTAAAAGTTTTCGAGATTTCTATGCAATACTGGAAGGTGAAACGATAGTGGAGCTCTTGAGATACCGCAACCAAGAAACGCCCTTTCTGCACCCAGCACTTCAATTGGAAAAGTAAAGGCTCCAAATTTTTTCTCCCCTACGATTCAAAGAAACCATTCATGCAGCTTTCGTCGATCGAAAGCAGCTGTGTTTGGTTGATGCAGCATCTGCCTCTGCTTCCATTGATGCTCCAATAACTGAAAGATAATAGTTAGTGAAAAATTCACAAGTATGGTCTCACGAAACAAAGTAGTAAGGGTCTCTCCCTTCTTATAGACAGCAGCTGAACCAATCGATAACAAATGGAGTGGATTTTTTAGAGGACAGGGCCAAATGAAATATTTCAAGGAACAAAATGAAGACACAATAACTTTAATGTGTCTAAAGCAGTGACTTTCAAAATTCCAGGACTGTACAATTATTAATGAGCTTCTCGTAATAGGAATTAATGTTGCGAATCAAATAAATTATTCTTTTCAGGAGTTGCTATCGTCAAAATGGGTAGAGCCCCAGTCAATGGATTGAACACTGAGCTCCTTGGTGCCCTCAATGACACTTTTGATAGTTTGGAAAAAAACAAAGCCACAGGAATGATACTAAGTTCTGTAAGTACTATAAATCATGATTTACTTCCTGAGGTGGAAGTATCCATTTTTGTTGGCTTGATTTGCTAATCTATTCATTGCCTTTCAATCAGTACAAAAAGTAGGTGGAATTAGAATTTATTTTTGCCTTTTCCTGACAATTGGATTGTCATTGTGGAGTGGACCTTGCTGCAAATTGGTGTCCAGAATCGAGACCTGAAAACCTTGATTTGGCAGACATATCCATGGTGAAACTATCAGACCACGTATCTCAGTTTACGACTTTGTAGACTTCCTATCATACTATATTTTTTAAGTGGAAAACCACTCAACATCAATTCTTGACAACTTCCGTGTTTTTTTCTTCTCAATGTGAAGAAAACTCTGTAAACATTTCAAGAAATGTTATTGATTTGTACTACTTCTAAAAAATAAAATGGGAGCAGAGATTTTCAAACACCGCAAACGATATAAGTGGTCAGGTAGTTTCACCGTCGATATTTAAGGAGACTGATGGATAGTCGATATGATTGGTGAGTGATTGAGATTGATACATCTTTTGTGCATACTTTTGACTCCATTTTAAGGTTCAATGGCTTTTTATCTCATGGAAAGTCATAACCCAGTGTCTAATGTAATCTAATGTTCTAATTTTCAAGAAGTGGCAATTGTTAATTCTATTTATAGCCGTACCTCAGTTGTTAAACGGCAGATTGATATTGCCTTGGTTCTGAAAAAGTGAGTGACAGCTCTGTTTGTTTCTTTTACTTAGAACAAAAACATGATTTGAAGACTTGGTTTTTTATGAGGCACATTTTTTTTATGTTATTGAGCTAACTATAGTAAAAAGAGCTTAGCCAATTTTTTGAAAACAAAACTTGAAGGGTTGATGTTGTCAGCTACTGCTTCACCAATTAAGGAATCGAAGAGATTGTGTTGCCCATGAAAGTCACCTAATTTAATAAACAAGGCAGTCATCAGATACCTCTCATGAAAAGTCTTGCCAAAACACCCTACAGGGATGAAATTTAGCACAGAAATTATCTGTAGCTTCTAGTCACACCACCTGATGACAGAGCTTGGAGTTTTAAGCCACCACTTAGTTACAACAAAGTTCTGGTCAATTTTAGGGTCCTCCATTGAGAAATCTGCAACCATTGCTCGGTAGATTTTGCCGTGGAGAAAAATGGTCAAAAAATGATCTGCATATCCATGTCACAGCACCTCATTTAAAACCGCAAGGAAGATTTTTAAATAGTTGTCTCTCTATTTATTAATTCAGTCTAAGCATAACATATTTGTAGCATTATCATTATTTGAGTGATATTATCCAATAATTCATGCAACTTAGGGAATTTTTCGAAGTTACCTGGTTCAACTCTTACTACAGTTCAACAGTAGGTATCATTACAGTTCTCATAAGGTTCTTTTATCTATGGAAAAGATACACTGTGGTAACTAATATGCTTTAACTTTCAGAGTATCCCAAACATTTATAGCGCTGGGTTGGACATATCAGAAATGTACAATGGCACACCTGAAAATTTAACTAAGTTTTGGAACACCCTCCAATCAATGTGGATCAATCTTTACAGCACGCCTTTACCAACCGTTGCATTAATCAATGTAAGTTCTATCCCATCTGTCTTTAGCAGATTTAAGAAACAGAGTAAAAACAAAGAGAGTTCACAGTTTAATGTTCTGTTAGCTTTTCATGCAAGGAGTGTTGCCTGCAGTCTACATTGTTTATGATTTTTCATTATGTAGCATGTTAAATTTCATGTGTATGATTGGGTTACTTGATACAGATATTAGGCAGTGGCAAAAAAGATTTTACCAACATTTTCTCAGCTTGTCTCAGACGAGAATTAATTACCCTATGAAATTCTTACCATCACGTTTAAATCTTTCTTTGAACCGCATCTGTTTGACCCCTTTCAAGATGCTTCTCAATGATATTGTTAGCATTGCTGCAAGAAAAAGATTCAAAGAAAAGAAGAAGTGAATGTTGAAGAGGAGATCTTCTGCTAAAGAATCTGCAAGTTCAGCAATGGTTTCCATCAAATATGAGGGCAAGACTTTAACAGTTGGCGGCAACGTCAAAAATAAAGGAAAGGGTGACTATAATAAGTTGCTCATAATATGCTTTCGTTTGTTTTCCAGGGAAATGCGCCAGCTGGTGGTTGCTTGCTTGCAATGAGTTGTGAATATCGTGTCATGGTTGGCAGCAAGTTTGTCATAGGACTGAATGAAACTCAGCTAGGTCTTTTCGCTCCTAAATGGTTTCAAGACACAATGGTAAGCATCATTGGACCCCGTCAGACTGAACTCGCCTTGACCTCTGGCAAGCTATTTTCTGCACAAGAAGCTCTCAAAATTGGGTTGATTGATGAGCTAGTCGCCTCAGAGGAGGAAGCTCTTGCAAGCTCAGACAAATTTTTTGGACTGTTTAAGAGAATACCTGGTAAGATACTTTCATTTATTTGATGGATTTTTTAGATAAAATTCTCAATCTAGCCTGATACATACTTTTGACTCAACCTCCCCTTTAATTCAAAGAATCTGTCCGTATGTGTATAAGTATAAGTAACTTAATCAGCTGCAGGAAAACATCAGGGAAAAAAATCCTCCAATTGTGACTCAGCAGTTGGACCTTCACCCACCAACTCATTGGCAAAGCTCACATGCCTAAACTATGAATCCGACCATTGTTTACCATCTGGGATGGATTTACTATATAGGTGCGACTAGAGACCTGCACCATAAAGTTTTTTTTCCCTACCCCTCAACATTCTGTACATAAACTTTTCAATTTTTTTTTTTTTGCCCAGTGTATTTTTCTTGTTTCTCATTGACTTACAATTAAGTCTAAAGGTGTCTCTTTATCCTTTATTTCCCGTAAAGTGTGTGCGAGGAAACGCCTTAAGTGAATTGCATTGAAGAGGGGCTAAAGTATTGAAATTTATCAAAGGTGGCCCCTCTCCATTGGGTGAATTCATTACTAAACCCCTTTTTCAGAAAGGTTTACTTTAGAGAAGCCCAAACCCCAGATTGCATCCTAAATCCGGCCCTCTTAACGATAGAACTCCTGTACACAAAATTTCTGTACAGGCCTGTGAGACACAAGTCATACGAGTAAACCAAAAGCAAGTTTGTCCTTTGTTCATATGTGTTTTTCCTCCATCATAGGCGTATCGATGTTAGTTTAATTTAACACAGAATGTCTGCCCTTTCCATCAATTGTTGCACACTGTGCCATCATTTAAACTGCTAAAGAATTTTCATCAAACGAAATACAAATTTCTAGTGCTTATAACTTCAAGCTATACATAAGATTGGTTGAAATGTTTCAGGTTATGCCAGAGGCCAAACGAAAAACTTTGTTCGTGCTGAAGTCCTTGATTGGTTATTGAAAAACCGTGAACATGATACCAAAGTCTTTCTCAACAGCATACAATTGCCGCATGTACAGAAAGGCCTTGGTCTTTACCTCCAGTCTCTCAAGAAAAAATAATTTTTAAAAAAAAAGAGAAAGAAGATTTTCACAATTGTTTATAGTCTCTTTCCTTTGACCACCATTATGTGCCTTGGATGCTCTTTTGCAAGTGAACACATTTTTTTTTTCTTTTTCCGACTTGTGGGTATTTTTGTTGGAAGAAAATTAAGGCATAATGTATGTGGCAGGGTCCTGAAACTTTGAAAATTTCTCAAATATATAAAGTTAAAATTTCTTTCTCATTTTCCAATCCCCGAATATATTTTAATTTTTTTAAAAAAGCCTTTAAAAATTTGATTAGTTTCAAATGCCTTCAAAGAGTCTTAATTTCGTTTAATCTGGTTTTCTAATTATAACTTTTGTAATTGTTCTTTTTTCTCCTTGGTCACGGAGTCTATCGAAATGTCCAATACTACAGGATAGTCCTTTCATTCTACATTTGCTTATTTTTGTGTAAATGATAGAGAATCAAAGTAAAAGAGGAGAGAACTTCCAATAAATTCCATTGCCATTCTTTGATCCCTCCAACTTTTTTTTGTGCATCCTTGAATTGCTTGGATAGTTCTTGATTTTGCTTATTGCACCTCTTTTAAAAGCCCTTGATTTTAGGTTTTAAATGCTGTTGTGAACTGTGTGTGTGTGTTTTAAGCAAGATAGAAAAATACTCCAACTGAAAATCAGAATTTCACCTTTTTTCCATCTACATGTAAATCCTCTGTTTTTTTCTCTCTTTTCTTCTTCTTCTTCTTCTTAATGCAGTTCAGCTCTCTCCTCAAATTAATGAAAGGTGCAGTCAGGATTTTAATTGAACTTGTAGCTCATCTTTTTGACAGTATTTTGCCGTAACGAATAATTATTTTTGGCTCTTTTCAGAAACAACATGTCATTACTTTCCCATTACAGATATCGACGGTGTAAGTCGGCAATCACATGACTCGTTTGCGGTGTCTGAAAATCTCCGCCTCTTTGTTATTTTTTTATAGGAGAACAGATTGAATTCATTCCTTGAAGTTTTTGCAGAATTATCTGTGCACAGAGAATAAAACTCACGGCAACTTTAAAGATTTGTCGTTGAATAGTTTTCCGTTTAAAAAATAAAGTATGACAAGAAGTCTGCGACGTCGCAAACTGAGTTATGTGATTGCCGACTTACACCGTCGATATGTGGTTTTGTGCTTAAAGAATGTTTATATTACTTAAACTCAGTCATTAGCATTCAGAATTTAAAAAAGAAAAACATTTACCAGGTATGACTGAAATCAAAGGCTGATAGAATACTCAGAAAAATCATTGAATTTGTTACAAAAAAAGAAACAGTTTGAAGTAATATGTATCTACAAAGGATTTTATTCTTTGAAATCTAATGAAAGCCATTTATTTCTTATTGGTGTGTGTAGAATGTAATCTTACCCTTTATTTCTTGAGGAGAGCTCCCCTCCATTTACTGGATTTTTTTATTCTTGTTGACGAAACCACAAGAAAGTTCTAAGACTGATTTTGTAAAATGCATTTTGTTAGTAAAAGTTATTATGTTATTTTTAGATGGTTTGAGTTGTCTCTTTCTATTGGGTGTTTTTTTTTTTTTTTTAATTTTTAGAATAAGTTGAATTTCATATCATTGAATTGGTTTTACACTGTCTGCAAAGTTCTTATACAGCCAATAGCTATACGTAACTAACATTTAATCTCTACAAAGATCTAAATAGCAGCATTTTCAATTTGTTATCAGTAAATGTTGAAGTCATTGGATACGGATTTAGGCTGAATGTATTAAGTCAGGTCTGTTTTAATTTTAACCCTTGTTTTCCACGAGACAAGGACTGTGTCTAATTTAATCTGCCTACTATCAGATCTAACTAATGTTCTTGCATAGCTTTCCTAGCATTGAGCTAGGTCTTTATTAAACTGCCAAAGATTGTGAAACTCAATTTAAAGTGAATGTATTAACTGCTTTTGGAGAGGTGGAAGTGCCAATCGAAAAATAGATAAATAAAATTATGTTATTTTTGTAATTGTTCGTCTTGATTATTTGTCACTTGCATCATGCCCGCGCACATGTGGCCACATGCCTGTTAGGATACTGCTGTAAAGGCAATGGTCCCTCAACCTTCATCAATAGTTAATGGATGTACAAAGAAGGCTCAAAGTGTTTTAAAAACAATTGGGCATTCTGGGTACGATTTATATATCCCAAATTTTAACCATTAGGTGAATTATTTAGGAAAGATCTAAAATTCAGTATGTAGATCACTCATTGGAGGATGTTTGAACCAAAAACCACCCTCCAAAATTTCAAAACAAAGTCAAAAGTACTGTTTCCAATTAACCATCGATATCGATACATTGAAATGAGTTGCAAGATGGAAACAGTATTTTTGACTTCATTTCAAGATTTTGGAAGATGATTTTCGGCAGGAACATTCTTCAATGATCTATCTACAGACTGAAATTTAGATTTTCCCAAAATAATTCACCTAAAGGTTAAAATTAGAGATATATCAATCGTACCAAAAACGCATTGCGCAAAAGCTGATAATTCTATAAAAAAAATATAAATTCAAAGTAAAACATTTATTTCAGATATAAAAAACATTACAGTAAAAAATTCAAATTTAGACTTTGTAAGGTGTGGCAACAACAATATCGTGAGAGGATAGGATTGAATTCAAATATATTGATAGAGCCACTTTATTGCAGGTGTACTCAATTTAAAATGAAAGCCAAAATTGAAAAATATAAAGAGAACTTAAGTGCACGTAATGCAAAATGCAGGCTATGAGATAAAGCAGGATACTACATCTAAATAACTGTATCACCTAAGGCTCTTATTTCAAAACATTAAAATACTCTTGATCACCTTTTTTCAGTCACAATTTCATAAAACCAATGCAAAAAACCAAACTTAAACAAGAATTTACAGGACCATTGACTTGCAAGTAAATAAGTTAAAGTGCTTTCTTTTTTGCGGAAAACTTGGACAACCATCTTGAACTGTGAAAGTCATACTTTAATGATCCAGGGGGAGGATTGATGTCTTCTAATTTTATGATTATTTATTTACTTTGTTGAAGTACTCCTTAGATGCTTCTGGATTTGGTTTAATAGTTGGAGAGTCCGGTGTCCAGTTGGCGGGACAAACTGTTGGGGGAAAAAGGCAGAAAGAAAAGTCAATTCAAGTGTTGCAATAAACTGATGAATGATCTTAAAGTTGCCTTATTGGGTAAAAGGTGTAACCAGATAAAGGTTAGCAAGAAAATCATTTCCAGCATTAAAAGCGCTCTTAAAAGCTTTTTTCATTTGAAAAATGCATTGAAAGTTGCAGAACATGATAAAATTCTCCTCTGTCCTCATTGATAGAGACTTCCTTGCGTCTTTCGTAGTAATGAACTGTAGTTTCAATTACCATCAATCTCAAGAAACAGGCCAAAATTATGGTCACCATATAGACAAGAGTCGTGTAATGATCAAATTACTCAGGGTAGTATCCCTTTTGTTTGAAATAGGAATGAGGTTTCAGCAACTTTGAAAGTGATTTCCTCAGCTAAAATTGTGGATGAAAATAAGAAAAATACTTTTATTTATATTTTTAGTGACTCCTTAATTCTTTGAAATAACCTGATGAGATATTATCTGGCCGCGCAATTAATTCTTATTCCTTCTTTGAATTTTGCAGAAGTAGTGCATTCCCTTGGTTAAAAGATAAGCATTACATTCTAATCAGGTTTCATGATGGGCTTGTACAACTAAGGTTTGTGCTTATCTTCTGGAGGATTGTCTCTTTCATAGCAGAAAAATATAATTGGAAGAAAATCATGCAAGGCGGATAAAGAATGGTGGTCGCATTTCGTACCCTCTGGACGTCACACGGTATCGGGTACATCGGGTACATGGGCCGGCCGAGGCCGGGGGAGTCGGCTCAACCTCGAATTGCATGGCAAAAGCCGTACCCTCCTGATGTCACAGTGCTTCAAGATGGCAGCCAAAATCGAAATGCGACCACCATTCTTTATCCGCCTTGAAAATCATGATGCAGTAGAGGGAAAGTTGATGGCAAAGGTCATATTCTTTGGTAAACAATAGTGGTTGCATCTTACCTTCACCATGTTTCTCCACAAATTGGAACGCTTTCACAAGGCGTAGTGTTTCATCCACGCTACGTCCAACGGGTAGATCATTCACTGTCTTCTGCCGTAAAACTCCCTGAAAAGAAAGAAAAGTTTGGAAGAATATAAAATAGATTTAGAATCTATTTTGTGGTAAAAAACCTAACTTCCTCCAATGACAAGGGTACAATAAAACTTATGATTTTGAGCAGTCACTTATATATTCTTTATCAGTAAATCTACTGATAGGGACTGCTCATTTGCTAATATAAAGGTAAATACAAACAATTTAAAAATTCAAATATTAGTGATAAATCTGATAGAAATCATCTGTAAAGCATCATAAAAATTATATTTAGGTGACAGAGTATTGAGAAAAAAAAAAGAAAAAAGAAATTGGATTCTCTAGCTTCTTGAGTTAGAAACATACAAAACAACTGATGAAAAAAGTTGGAATTGAAAATTCGTCTTCAGGCGTGCATTTCAAGCTGAAACAACTCCAAAGAGCAAGTAAAATTCTCAGAAAGATTGATTCTTTTCCTTTATCTCACAGAATCCAAAAACTCAAACTAAGAGAAGTTATGAGTTCTGATGTCCAAGGTTTTTGAAAATAACTCACAACAGATACATGGAAATTTTACACTGATTTCGACTGAGCCAAAAAAGAAACACCAATTAGGTAATAAATAATAAATATAAGGTAGATGACAACTGAAAACTTACATTGGGGTCTATTAGAAAGAGTCCACGAAGAGGAATTCCGTCTGGTTTTATTAGCACCTCATAACTTTCAGCAATTGTTTTAGAAAAATCTGCTAATAATGGATAATGTATGGGTCCTAGGCCACCTTCCTGTAAGTCACAAAATTGCCAATATAAAATGAGTCCTGAGAATCATGATGGTTAAAAAAGAAAATAAATAAAAACTGTTCCATCAAACTTTAACAAAACTTGTCTGAAGATCAAAATAAAAAATACTGTAGTTTCATATGCCTGTGTCACACTATCAAATTGTTCCATCAAAACGTCAAGCTTAGTGCTCTGCGCATGTTCGTTTCTGTATGAAGAAACGGAGGAGCCAACTAGAGCTTGCTAACTCTTCAAAAGCGTGAGGGCTGTATCCTTTAGACGAAGAAGCTGTGTGGACCTCGATATTTTGATGGGTGTGTTTTGATAGTCTGGCACAGGCAATACTGTTTTAGGTAAAATTCGAATTGGGATTGCAATGCGATAAACAAATTTGGAAAAAGGCACTAAAATACATAATGAAAGTGCAGGGTCCTTTCAAGAAACTGATACCCCCTAATTTCATTGGTCTTTTTGGCTACTGATTACAATCATTCTGCACAAATTTTTCGGAATATTCTAAAATTTTGTCAAAGAATAAATTTGAGGATGAAAAATAGGGAACATGAAAGAACTGCTGTTTAAGTTTGGCAGCCCTGTTGTCAGCCTTGAGAGAGATTCACTTTAAACACTCCCACCGTTATTAGTAATGAGAGTTATTACTAGAAGCTTTGACCCAATATTCCTCAGAATATTAGATCAAAGCTTCTGTATTAGTATTCTTTTATGTTTTTTTTTGTACAACAAACTCGGAGCACTATCTCAAAAATCAAAATTTAGGAGGAACCTAATGATACTTACATTTCTCGGTGTTCTGATCCAAGCAAGGTGGGTGAAATGAGAGTCACAAGAGCAAGCAACTACTTCTGTGTTGATGTCTTTAAATTCCTTGTAGCGATCACTGAAGGCAATAATTTCAGTTGGACAAACAAAGGTGCTGCAAAAATAAATCATTGAAGTAAAAAAAAAAGAAAAGAAAAAAGACCGAGATGTTAATGACATATATCCTTGTCTCTTCATGTTCAATGCTCTTGTGGAGGGAGACTAGCGCAGATGAAACAATCAACGGACTATTCAAGTTTTTTGCTAAAAAGTTACTAAAAAAAAAATATACATCTTATTGATATGCTTATGTGAACATGATTATCTTGACAGATATTTCTCGTGAAAGAAGCGACACAACATAGATACTATCAAGACTAAAACTTATAGTTTGTCCATTTGAAAAGAGTCATCAGCTTGTATATTTTTGTATTGACTGGTTGCCGCCTTTCGTTGATTGAGCAATGGGGATGGTAAAAGAGCATCTTAAATTGAGAGCTTGATTAAATTTGGGGGTTGGACAGAACTTACTTAAAAAGTAATCAGTTCCACGCTGCGTAATTTTACACAAATTGACTTTTCAACAGCTATTTTAGACCAAGTACGATCACTTGCAGTAAGTACAGCCCACTCGGAATTTTTTTGGTTAAATAATAGAATACAAAAAAATAGATACTTACAAATCTAAAGGATAGAAGAACAAAACTAAGTATTTTCCTGCAAAATCTGACAATTTGATCTCTTTAAAATCTCCATTGATAACAGCAGTGCCTTTGAAGTCTGGAGCTGGATGCTGAACTTTGGGTCCTAATGAAAAAAAAATGGTTGAACAGAGTGAGTAAGAGGTAAGTATTAGACTGCAGGTGAGTACCTACCTAATGAGTTAAAGTAAAACTTTTTACTTGATACTATTTTTTAAATCCACCCTCCTTCGTATAATGCTTCAGCTTTCCTAAACTCTCGGAAAGTAAATTGATTTTTCACTGGCCACTACGAATGAAAACATCAAACTTATAGAGAGTTTTATAACTGTGATAGACTTATGTTTTGTGAGCTTGATTTTACGTAGTCTCAGAAAAACTCAGCTCAATTTCAAATGAGCCTGAATTGTATGAATGTCTGACTTTGGTCATCACTGATGACCAATTCAGACTAATAATAATAATTGACTGCTTACAAGTACATATCGACAGTGTAAGTCCGCAATCATGTTTCTCGTTTGCGGTGTCTGAAAATCTCCGCCTGTATGTTATTCTTTCAAAGGAGGACAAATTGACATCATTCCTCGAAGTTTTTGCAGAATTTTCTTTATAAAGAGAAGAAAGAATTTTAAAGAATTGCCCTTGTGTAGTTTTCTGTTTAAAAAATAAAGAATGACAGGAAGTCTGCGACATCATAAACCGAGTTATGTAATTACTGACTTACACCGTCGAGCTACAATCCGTAGCTATCAATATACTTGAGGCAAACCTTAGGTCGTGAGACCATTTTCAAAAATAATATCTTTTTTTTTAGCTCATCACTAAATTTCAGGCTAATCGTACTATTGGCCACATAATGGCATTCATGAGGCAAAATCATTAGATTGCAAGAAGCAGGTGGCATTATGGATCTATGTGAACCCTTGCACTACTTGAGTTTTGGAATATCAGAGATGTGTCTTATGGAGTTGGTGCTTAATGTTCAATACCAACCAGTTGATTCGCAATGATGAAAACGGATTGGCTGTTTGAAGGTTGGAAAATTGATGGAGGCTGCTGCTGCTGGTATTCCTTCCTGCAAACTTTTATTGCGTACCTGGGAAGAAAGAAAGAAATATTTAAAAAAGGTCTTAGAACATCTGAAAGTTCACTCACTTACTTTTAATGAGCTTTGTTGAGATAAGCTACAATACTGATAGTTGATTTAAGAATATTATCAAGTGATATTTGCATTGTTATGACGATTTCATGGGGAAGCCTCGAGCAAGATCGGCTCTGACACTAATATCAGCAATCTGAAAATTCACATCAGGACTAAGTGAGAGCATTAAACTATCATAGTCGTAGAGACAATCAACTATATTAGTCTTGACTAATAAATATTTCGGTTTATTATTGATTTTACAGACATTCAAAAACCATGCGTCAATATAAAACTGAACGAGTAAGTAGGTGAGCGAAGTAATATTACATGCTACTGTTTGCTTATCAATGCGTTTCATTTAACTCTAATTGAGAGAGGTACTTCATACAATGACCCAGGATTTACATAACTGTCGAAAACAGAAAGATGGCACCAGATCATGAGTCGAAAACTTCTATCAGACCAAAAATGACTAAGTTAGAAACTGCGTAAGAAAGATCTGATTTTGTCCAAGCTCTGAGTGGAATGAGTATGTACTTACAGCGCTTAAAAACGCAGAGGTGATTACACGAGTAACCATGCTGAAATTGTAAAAGTTCAGAGTGGCAGCACAAAAGGTAGATGAAACAAAAATCACTTATGTAACTCAAAGTATCGAAGGGACGAGAACTCAGCCGCCTCTTATCGCTTCGAGCCCGGTATGAGGTTAGGTTTCATGTCAACATTGGTTGGTGATGCAATTTCGTCCCTGCTCACCGCAAAGTCCAGGCTTGCCGTATGTACACAATAATTATGAATTTTTTCTGTTGCCGGCAACGATTATGAAATATGCCAGCAATTTTTTCTTTGATATTTTTTCAGCAAGCAAAATTTTATTTTGTTTGGATTGATTTCGCTTTGGATTATCGCACATAAGAGAGTATCAAAATTTCTAAAACGCAATATTCAGATCCAAGAGAGTACCTACTCAGGGCCGGATTTAGGGGTGGCAAATTTTGCAATTTTTACTTTTTTTAAGTGTAGGTATTAGTATAAAGAAAAATCGGACCAGTAAAAAAATTACAAAGGTGAAAAGGTGACAAAATCTCTCATTTCCTGAGAGTACATCGCCAATTTCGTCGTCTTCCTGCACGATACAAACAGACAGCACCTTTAATTAGTCGAGTTAAGACTAAAAGAGAAACCGAACACGGAATTTGGCCTAGAACGGCGCACACTGTGGTATTTGACCGAAAAACCTGGCCAAAACCTCAATTTTAAATTTTTTTTTTTTTGGAAAACCAATGTGATATTCGAAATCTACACTGTTTTTTACCCCAGTAACCATGTATGTGCCATTTTTCGAGTGGCTCAATTTCCCGCGAAGAGACCACGAAGTTACCTATTTCTCAGCGATTTTTTTGATGTGTTTTGACGCGCTACTCGTCGATCAGTTTACTTCAACTGTGCGACCATAGGAGGGAAGTTCGGCGATATGCAACACATCCTTAAGGGTATATTCTACACAACTAACCACAGTATTTTCGAAATTTCCTTTTTTAGTGATTTTCACAGGAGGTTGAAAAGTGATGTAAAAGTAAACGTTTTTTTCGAATTTCACAGTCCGATTAAAAATTTCTCTCAACTGTTCTCAAGCGGTTTCAGGCGGAATGTCATAGTCCGAAGTGGGTATTTTCAGGATTCAGGGTCGACAGACTGAGGAAAACTGAGGAAATTGAAATTTTTGACTTCAAACATGGACTTTTGAGCGATTTTCACAAACATGAATGGGAAAAATTATGTCGATACTAACGACTGAAATTGTATTTTTCCAATACCTCTGACCCATTTAGTACGAAATTGGGTGATATTTGGTCACACAACCTGTTTCTCTGGCCCCTACGCCCCCGAAAGAGGGATGAAAAAAAATAATTTGAAAGCGGAAGGGAGGGTCATTTTAAAGTCTTGCAAAAGAGTTTAATCCGTTATTTAACGATCTCTTCGTGCATTATCCTTGAGTATAGACATATTCATGCCATGTTTTACTTTGACAGACAAATTTGAGGCCATCCGGCTTTGGGGTGGGGCTTCGAAAGTGGCCCTCTGGCACCATGAAATTACGCTGAGAGGCACATTTTGAAGCCTCGTAAAAGTAATTTTACGATTTTTCCTCAGGCAGCAGATTGTAAAGGGACATCATTAGAACTAAATCTTCCATTATTATCAACCTAAATTTTAAGAAAAAATACAATTGGCCCTCGATAAGTGAGATATGTGGTTTTGTCACGAATTTTGCAGTGACTTACGCTGTTTTATATTAAAAAAGGCAATTTCAAAGTTAATGGAGTGCCCTCACTTCGAGATGTAGATCATGGGTTAGGAAGGAAACCATCAAAATGAATCCTTTTCATAGGTGCTTTCTGTCCTCACAATGGTTCTTATTTTGATAAAACTGATTTTCATCCCATAAATTATCCTCAAATCATCATATGGAGGTCCCGGCACTTTCATACTAGCACTAATTTTGATTCAAAACAGTCAAAAATCTAATATCTAGAATGATTCATATTAATTTTTTTGAGAAATGTACATTTACTCCTCAATGTGAGAGATCGGCTGTTTCGTCAAAAATTTTGAAAGGACTTACGCTGTTTCATAAAAAAACCATTAATGAGGTCATAGAGAGTCCTTATTTCGAAAAGTGGACCACAGGTGAAGGAGAAACTCGTCTAAATGCACCGCTTTAGTCAGATACTTTGCGTCCTTTTAAAGGCTTTTTGGAGGGCTTCTTCCATCCTCTTTAAACTCTCCGCAAATTGTCATATGATGTGTTAGGTGGATAAATTGTGCATATTATCACTTAAGAAGAAGTACTGATTGTAAAATATTTTTAAAACTCGGCGATATCTGGTGATAAATAGTTTTGGCCAGCTTTTCAGGTCCAATACCACAGTGTGCGGCGCGAGGCAGAGAGCAATGATGACGAGGCCTAGAGATGAAAAGGAGAAATCCTCGGCGCGGCGCGGCGGTCGGCATGTAACACATATTAGCGCCCACGTGACTGCATGAATACTTCACGCATTGCGTCAAAGACGATGCGGTCAGCAGCGGACGGCGTGAAACGCATAGCGCCTACAAGACTGCATGAATACTTCACGCATTGCGTCAAAGACGATGCGGTCAGCAGCGGACGGCGTGAAACGCATAGCGCCTACAAGACTGCGTGAATACTTCACGCATTGCGTCGAACACAGTTCGTGCAGCAGCGGTCGGTCGGCGTAAAACGCATAGCGCATACAAGACTGTAGGAACAATTCACGTTCACGCATTGCGCCAAACACAGTGCGGTCAGCGTCGCAGCGGCGGAAGTTAAAATTATTAAACCACATTGATGTTTGTTCTTTCATAATTTTTTCGTTCATTTCATATAAATGGAAGGCCTTGTCCACACAGAGATTGGATTACGGAACTTAACTTTCGCGCCAAGTTCCGTGAACTTTTGCTAGCATATATAGTGTTGACAGCATGTTGAGAGGGCTTTTCCAAAAAATGTGTCCATCACGAGTAAACGCGTCTTATGCACCCCTCTCCCTCCGGCACGTTCACTTGATGGTTTTTATTGATGTTTCAAAACTAATGAGCAGAGGGCGGCAAAATACCGGCGGCCCATGGGCGGCAAGTAAGTAAATCCGGCTCTGCACCTACTTACATCTACTACAAACTAAAATAGACAACTTAAGTAAAACATTTGAGACGGATTATAAAGGAAATTAGTGGATGGCACAGATGACCTTTTTGAATTCTCCTAAAACTAGGCAGGTCAAGTTAACTGATGCGGAACATTTTTTATTTGCCGTTTCGATGCGCGGCAACTGGCATACTAAGGTCGTAGACTTGGCAACGTCTGGATGCAACTATTCCTGATTTAAGGCTGTCTGTCTTGCGTCTTAAAAAATGAAGGCGCACTCACAGGTGTGTTTAGAAATACTTGGAATTCAATTCCCCGATCTACCCGTATAAATCAGAATTCAAGTTTTTATCTCAAAAGGGACTGAAAAAAGGAGGGAGGACAAGAAATCGGTTGGAAATTACCTATGTATCCTTGGCTTAATTTACTTTGAGCAGACATCCTCATCGGGCTACAATTAAATAATTTCAGTGATTTACTCGTTTTTATACCAAACTTATAGTCTTTCCTTGTTCCCTTTCATAACATTGATTTTTTCTTTACAAAAATCATACTTTTGACTTGCTCATTTGACGATCACAAGACCTCATTGCATGTTTGGAAGGCGCGACATTTTTCTCGACCAATCAAACGCTAGAGGCTAGAACTTAGTCACTAAGTGCCAATCCCTGCGTCAACATTACATCAATGAAGAATAATTCTTGAAAAATCAATGTCGAAGAAGAGAGGGATGTGGACAAGTAAATTTTTATTTGTGCTTCCAAACATATAATTTTTAATAGATTTATACCTACGAGGTACCTATCGTCCTTCATTTATAAACGTCTTTTTAATTGATTTATACTATCGGTAAAATTCATGGATAGGTAATGCATACCTACCTCAATTTTCTGGAGACTTTTAAATCCTAAAGATCGGAATATGATAAGCTGATCACGACTTTACCCTGAAGTAAAGCACAATTACCAAAGTTGAAACGTCTCAGGCAATAATATGGGGGCTTTTTCGGAATGGAACTTAAAGCCAAAATGGCGAGAATAGGTAAGTCGTTGGGTCTCAGCCAATGCCTAAAGAGAAGATTGTATCCCCTAGAACAGTGCGCACAAACTCCCTCCTGTTTCAAATATCCCTCGAATACACCCTGTCATCACCTGATAATAGCCTCTGAGCCCCATGTATCTCCCAATTTCCTCCACTTCATCCCTGCTTGTTTATCAAGAGAGATTTAGCAGCGCGCCATTCCGCAGTGGCTGTATTATCGCAACAGCGAAAGAAACACCATCTGCCTCCGGCGTTGAATAAAGGGAGCTAATAAAAAAGAGTAATGTTTATTGTCGCCAATAAAAGACGTTAAAAGTCGCACGGCCACACTGCACCCGCCAACGTTAAGCCCTCCTCGCTCGGGCTCCAAATGTAAAAAAAAGAAAATCCGAGGCAAAGGTTGTCTGATTGTCATGGTACTCGAATCACAGTTCAACAGTCCCTCCTTTTGAGATAGAGAAGTGAATATCGATTGAAAAGTACCCATGTCTGAAAGGGAACGGAATATGCATTTGTATCTACTTTTCTCTTACTATCGTTTGCTGAAAAATCATCAGTAAGTGTAGGTAATTCTGCGAAAGCGAGAAAAGTCGGTGCGCCTTCATTTATTGGAGACGCAACAAAGACACCCATCAAGCAGGAATAGTTGTATCCAGGCGTTGCGTAGGCGTTGCGTAGTGTCCGATACGCAAAATATCAACGAGAATGGACCGCGGGCTTTGATTTGTAACGAAATTGACAAATTTAACGAGGATAAGCCTGACAAAGTCACATGGTGCTTTTGATTTCCCTCGTGTAATACTTTTTTTAACTTACAAATGATACACTATTTTGCGTTAAAATGTTGTGAATATCGACGACATAAGTCCGCAACCAAGTATATCGATTTGCGATGTCGCAGGTTCAGTCATACTTTAGTTTTTAATGGAAAACCTCTTGACGGCAATTCCTAAAAACTGCCGTGAATTTTCCTCTCCGTGCGAAGAAAATTCTGCAAAG